AAAAATAAATTGTATGTATTTAATAAAAAGATGACACAAAACTTTTCAAAGTGACATTGGGTCATTTTTTTTTAAAAAAAAAAAGTGACACAATGTCACTTTTAAAAGTTTAGGCCTTGTAGTGGAGGGATTAAAATCGGATTAAAATTGAAAATATAGCCGTTATTGTTGACTTTTGTTAGATGAGTGGGACCCAATAACGGCCATATTTTCAATTTTAATTGGATTTTAATCCCTCCCGAACGGGGCCTTAGTGTCATTTTTTACAATCTCACTTTTATTGAAAAATGATGTTTGTTACTAAAAAAGTGATTGAAATTTCAAGAAAACGACTGAAAAAAGTGACATAAATTTTTAAAAAGTGACGAATTTAAAAAAATAACACATTAAACAATTGCACACATTCAAAAAAAAGTGACAATTCTTATTGTGACATTGTGTATCATATTTCCCCTTGGGTTTTGTCAGAAAAATATCAAAAGTTAGGATTGCTTTATCTTTCTGTTTGTGATAAGGTTCCAGCTGCAGTTGATGAACAATATCAGAACTAGGAAATAAGTTCGAAAGAACGTTGCTGTCGTGAGAATCAACTCTTTACTGTAAGAAAGACTATCCATGGTTTTCCAAAATTTTACATGAATTTCTTCTTGAAAAATTTGAAATAAAATATATCGGCAAAAATTAAACCTTATCTACAATTACATTGTAATTAAGCCAAATATTTCTCCAATTTCTCCACCTCTTCAGTACTTCCAATGTACAAGGGCACTCGCTGATGTATCTGCACAAAAAAACAACAAAAGATCAAAATTGAAAGATGAAACCTGAGGACAATAATGTAACAATTTGCAACAAGGATCACATTTCATTTGACACACCTCAGTTTGTTGAATATCAAGGACTCTGTTATGCCCATCCGATCCTTTACCGCCAGCTTGTTCAACAATGAAGCTCATTGGTGCATATTCGTACAAGAGCCTCAGCTTCCCATTTTTGCTCTCTTTGTCACTAGGATACCCATAAATCCCACCATATAACAAAGTCCTATGAAAATCGCCAACCAAACTACCAATGTATCGAGCAGAGTAAGGTTTACCACTCGGGCCTGGATCCTTAAGATCATCAATGTACTTCTTCAATTTATCATCCCACAACTGGTAATTGCCTTCATTAAAAGAATAAATCTTTCCAGCCTTTGGTATCCGAATTTTTTCTTGAGTAAGCACAAATTCCTCAAAGATGGGGTCCAACGTGAATGCAAATACACCTTTTCCAAAGGTGATCACGAAAATCACAGAGCTCAAGTACATGCAATAGCCTGCTGCAAGAAGATTATTTCCAGGTTGACATACATTCACAACACACCTCTGTTCCACATTGCCAAGCTGCGACAAATCAGAAGTTACAAAATTCTTATTTTAGCTAGATTTTACTTATTTCAGTCTCAACTTATCGTACAAAAATAGAACTCAAGCCTATATGTATGCGATAAGAAATCAATTCAATACAATACATTGAACCACATTTTATATAAAAGCTTAACCTGTTAAACAGTGGCAATCAGATTCATTTCTCAATCTAATGTCCAATACATGCACAATTGTCATTAATTAAACGATATAGAATTGCAATATACCGTGGCAACATCGTCAACGTCTGCTAGGCACTCATCATTTGGGCTGTAAATTCCGAAAATAGAGCCAGTGGATACAGCATCATCAATGTTGGATAATCCATCAAGAGGGTCAAAAACGACAATGTAGTTTCCCAAATAACTCTCCTCCATAGCCACCAGCACATCATCTTCCTCAGATGCTATGATTCATGTCCTTCCACTTGACCTCAAGCAATTAGAGAACACCTAAATAAAACAAATCAACCACACCTTCAACAAATTTTGTCACCTTTTATTTTAGAGTTTCGTGGATTTGTTTTAGTTTAGGGCGTAATTAATACGAGATTTATTTGATGTTTAATTAGTTTAGGGTATTAATCTAATTCGATCAATTTCTAGAGCATTAGGCCTAATTTCCCCATTATAAAATTAGTGTCTTCATACATTCAATAATGGTTCCTTCATACATGCATGCATGCTACGATACGACAAAACTTTTAAGCATTATTATTGGCCGACATCCTTTAGCTTCCAAATTGAATTATATAGCTCATGTCCCAGCATTGAAAAGCTCCCTTTTTGGACATATAACTAATATGGGTCCTAAGGGATTTCGCCACCCACTTAGAGAGCTTCGTTACTCAATTTTAGTGAGGTTGTCACTTGTAAGAATAGATTTTTTGATAGATATTTTAAGAAATTAATATATAAAATATACACGGTCCAATATTTTTTATATTAGGTTAGCTCGCATCATAATCAAACTTGTGGGTCAATAATTTTATTTAAGAAAATAGGCCCGAGCTTCTTAACATTTCAAGTAGTACGACTTTGAGCCATCAATCTTTAAAAATGAGGTTATGGGTCAACATCCTATTTATTATGTGAATGTAACATTATGGAAACCTTCAACATGGATGTTAAATCAATGTCCAACACTGTGAGGGCAAATTCGTCCATGATATTCCATAAGTCTTCAAAATGGGATTATGCTAGAAAATAAAATTTTCTTTTTGAATTCACACGTTAAACCACTCAACGCCCAAAATCTGTGAAAGTTACATCACGTGCAATTTTAATGTCTACACTGATAGATTCGGTAACATAGAGATCTATATTCACTAATTTAGGGTTCATGTCATCATAGAAATCCGCATCCTATTGATTAAGAAAATATGATTGAATGTCTCTTTCATTATTATTTTTTTCTCGATTGCTCTGATCTTCGAAGTTTTATTGTATATGATGTGAGTTGTTGCGTAAAGATGATTTTTCAGGGAATTTTGTACACTGGGATTCAAAACTTCACTTTTAAGTGTCAAGATCCAAAATCACATTACTTGAAATATCATAGACTAAATTCTTATTTTTCATATTATTATAATAATGTCATTTGAACAACCATTAAACTACGGTAGTCAGTTAACAAATCGTCTATGCATCGCAAGCATAGCATATACGAATAGTATGCAATTTGAGTCGAATCTATTCATCTTAATTTACATTGCTACGCAACATTGCACGTAAGACGTGTGACATCAATATTTCTACACGCTTAAAATAAGATAATGTTCCAAATAAAATTGAATTACATTGAAAGTCATTACACAATAAACTAAAAATAATAATGAGTATTTAGCTGTAAATTACTATAGAATATAGGTATACTAATAAAACGGTGGCTTTTAAAGTTTTCTTTTCGGGCAGTTGGGCGAGAAAAATTATCATTGTATATGTTGCTTTTTTTAGCTAAATAATTATCAGGTTCGTGTGAAAACAGGAATGTAATTAATTAATTAATTCCTCAACTACATTATTTAATTAAATCTAAGATAGGGGTTTTTGCACCTCTCTCCAGCACATGCGTAGATACTAGCCAACCACCATAAACAAATATAAACAATAAGATATTAAGTCCCACCAAATTAAATTAATAAAAATATAATTAATTAATTAACTATCACAAAAAAAATAATTATTTTTAAAGAAATTGACAGAATACATTGACTTTTATTTCATTTTAATGTTTTTTTTATTAAATTAGATAAAAAAAAATGAGCATTAGAAAAATTCCAAAAAATATTAAACTTGATTAAATTCGAATTGAACCGACCATAAGATTGATTGCGCATGGCCCCCGCTAATTAAGCAAAGATTGAGGAACCATGTGCCTTAGCCCCCTTTAAAATCTGCTAAAGAAACTCACCCATATTTAATTAATTATTCCTATGTGTCACAATCTTAAGGCCCTCCAACTTATTATTTACTCCATTAGAAGTTAATTAATATAAGATTATGTAACAATATGACTGTCTCTATATTATATTGGTGACAAATTTTGTTCTTATCCAACCTCGATCCTACTATATATGTACCTAAACCCAACATCCCATCTCCCCCTTCTTGCTAGAGTCTTCAGAAGAGAGAGATCCAATAGAAAGAGTAGAAAAAAATGATCAAGTTAAGGCCAAAGAGGCTATTCAGAAGCAGCTCTAAACTTAGCACTGGTGGCGCCACCCATGGTGATGGTGGAGCGGCCGTAAAGGGCTGTGGAGTCAATGGTGGCGAGATCAAATGGGAACTACGTCCTGGAGGTATGCTTGTCCAAAAGAGAGATTATAAAGAAAGTGACAATGAAGTGATGATCACAATTAGAGTCTCCACAGTTTCCCAGTGGCACGATATATCTATCCAAGCAACCTCAACTTTTGGTAAGTCTCGAGTTTCTATTTATGATGTTCCTAACCTTTGCTTAGGAAAACCTCGTGTTGGGCTATGGATGAAAATTGCTTTTTTTAATATTGTTACTTTGTTTATTAAGGTTTGTTGTAGATTCTCTTACTTATATATTTGAATGAATACAGGTAAATAGAAAAATTGTACATCATATTCGAGACGTACTAATTCTTACATGATTTCTAGAAAATTAACTCGGTTTTCGTTCTATTTGTTAAATTTGCAGGGGAATTAAAGATGATTTTGTCAATATTAACAAATTTGGAACCAAAAGAGCAAAGGCTATTATTCAAAGGGAAAGAAAGGGAAGACAATGAATATTTGCACATGGTTGGGGTAATAGACAAAGACAAGGTTCTGATGTTAGAAGATCCAGCCATCAAAGAGAGGAAGCTTGTCGGGTTGACGGGTCGCCAAGTGATCGGGTCACCTTATCGAACCATCACTGTCTAATTAATCAAATTAATTAGTAGATATTAATTTACTATCTTATATTTGCTGAATTAACTGACTGTAAAAGTTATCAAGTGTAATGATGAATATTTCATAAATTTGTGTAGGCGAGGGACGGTTTTTGTATTATTCCCTTGTTGGCTGATCAGACACGTTTATTTGATGTAATTGGATGATCGTTCATGTGTTTTCGTTTAAGACCGTTGGATGAAAATAAAGAACAAGTTTTAGGAAGTGGTTTTTTTTTTAAAGGTAACGTTGTTATGACATGTGAACGGTGATTTAGATGTGTGAGTGACCGTTCGACCTCAAGAGTTCCTTAGAACTCCTTAGGTTGACCGACACCTCCTAGTGTGGGGATCGATCTCAACCATCCCTTTTTTTTGGGCTTGGTCAAGTAGCCTTCCTTTTGTGAAATTGACCTTTAAGCCTCAATAGATTGATGATGCTCAAGGTTCTACTTAGTCTTTTGCATTAAAAATTTTATTTTTCAGTTGGTTTCATGGACTACTAATATTTTTTTTTTTCGTGAATAATTGGAAATTTGATGACGTGCATGAATTAATTCCTTAAAACTCAGCAGGATAAAGAAAATTTCTTCCATTTCATTTACCTTTTTCATTGGCACCTTCACCTCCTATTTAGGAACAGTAACACTGAGGACTCCATTATCCATGGAGGCCTTAAGTTGATCAACTTTTAGCATTTTCCGGCAGCCTAAACTGCCGGCAAAAACTGCTGCCACGGATGCGCTCAATGCAATGCCATTCCTCAATTTTCCGGCAGCCTAAAATGCCGGCAAAAACTGCGGCCACGGTTGCGCTCAATGCAATGCCATTCCTCAGTACTTTTATCAGAATCCTTTTGAACATCTACATGAGACCCAAGGGAGACATAAGGTGGAATAAGTATGATGGGCCTCATGAAAACAACGAGAATCTATAAATAACGAGGTTGGCTCAAACAAAACCAGTTCAAGTCCAAGTGATGCTCAATAAGTATGTTCAAGCCGAAAGCTACCTCATCTACATCAAGAGACTTCTCTTTGTCAAGATTGAAACACTTAGAGCCCGTTTGACATGACTTTTACTTTTGCTTTTATTTTTACTTTCTGTGGAAGAGATTTTGGATAAAGCTACCTTAATTTTTATTTGGAAACTAATTTTCAAAAGAGCTTTCTATTATGAAAGTGCTTCTAGAAGAAGCCATGTTGGATCGCTTTCTAAAAACTCTTCTAACACTTTCTTAAAATTTGCTAAACGGGTCCAAAAACAATATCTGGATCTCTTTTTAATTCTTCAAAAGCTATACAAAACGGACACTTAGTGAATTAGCTTGTGATTCAACTCGCCTTCTCATAATAAGAATTTCTTTCATCAGATTACAATCCACGAAACTCTTGTTTTCTTTAAATCCTACACTGATTCTCTTTACCCCCTGATTTGCAAAATTCTTCCTTCACTCATTTCAACCCTCTGCATCCTCTTTGCTTAGATAAGGAAGATCTGCCATGAAAATGTGGGCTTCCGCGGTTTCTTTCCAATCAATTGGTACGTCTACTGGTTTCTTTAAGATTCTGTATGTTGTATTTCTTTGCCTAAAATAAGGTTTTGCTCCAATCTTCTACTATATTCGTTCTAAAACTTGAACATTTTCTTGATTCATCTTAACAACTTTTGAAACTTGTACACACAAAGTGTACACCTTGATTGGTACGCTCCAATGTGTCAAAAATATGGCAGTTTTGTCAAAATCAATGTGTAAAATCTGTCACGCACATGGGTGTAAATTATTGTGTCAACCTTTATGTATGTGTAGCATTGTTCATTTTCACAATTCCCAAAATGTGGCACTGTACAAAAATTCTAAAAATGTACCAAAATGCACAACTCGGAAAAATACGTGTGAGTATGTGAAATACACCAAAACTCGCCAAACATTATCAAAATTCGCAAAAATGTACCAAAACGCTCCAAATTGTTGTACACATCTCAATTGAAGTACTGATCCAAGTTAGGAATCAAAATATAGCATCACAAGAAATGTTAAAATATGAAAATTTCAAGAAAAAAATTACTTAAAAAAAGCTAAAAATATGGGTAATTAAATCGAATTTTCGGTGCTAATTCACGTGTGATAATTTACATACAACTAATAAGTTTTATGGGTTGGCAGCAAATAAAATTCTTTATTCTATACAGTACCTCGGCAAAGGGAGTTTCGTAAGAAGAAACAAAAATATGATGCTAATTGCCCAAGTTATCGAAGATATATCATCTAATCTCTTTTGACGAATCGACCCTGCACAAAATGAGCCGCATTATGACAAGTACAAGAAATTCAAGCACATACCAAATCAATCATAATTGAGAACATGTCCGAGAGATGTACCTTAACACGAGGACGCTTTTCAGCATTAAGTTTTCTGACTTGATAACGTATTTTCTTGGCGAAGAGTCGATTCCGCCTCTTCTCCTTGTACCTCAAGACACTAGCTTCTCTTTTTCCTAACTTCATTTCCTCTTCTTTCTTCACTCCAGTCCCAGCAGCCAATACTGGTACTGTCCATGATCCTCCCCAACTCCACCCCTACATACATATGTGCACACGAACAAAGAGGTTCCTTAAATTGAGTCGGTGGTAGATAAAACCAAAACCAAAACTAAAATCAATAATAGAGGAAAAGCCAGGTGGACAGATGGCAGAGGACCCCAGTGTAAAGAAAAAAGTGCAACTTTATTTGAATGGTCCAAAGATTCCTGTATTCAATTATTGACAACCCCACCTTCCAGTTTCACTATCCTTCCACTAGAGCAGTTTTATCTTATGCAGTAGATTTTTTTAAAAATAAATTTTATTAAAAACGATATTTTCGAAGTATTATAAAATGGAAAAATTATGGATCTACGTGTCAAATTATTTCGTTAATAGAATTTAATTAAAAAGGAGTACAGAAAAAGATGAATTTTAAAGAATTTGGTCCAATTAGGTCTCAATATTTTTAACCAAAAGTCGGATACTATGCTAACTAGCCATCGACCTACTCAGAGTCCAAGAAGTCATAATTGAGTAAATATCGTGATGTGCAAGTAGAACCGCCTTGTTTCTCCATTTATAGATTTTTTATTTTTTGGGGATATACGAAAGGAATAAATCTAAGAGCTTGTTTGGTAAGTTTTTTTTTGGGGGAAAATTGATTTTTAAATAGTGATATGATGGGAAATATATGGTTAAAAAAGAAGAAAGAATTATTGATGTGATGAAAAATATTATTTTATTGAAAAATATATGGTTGAAAATGAAAATTGATTTACTGCAGAATTTGAGAATAAAAAACAAACACCCCCAAAGTGTACAACATTGGTTGACAACAATGATTCACAATCATGTGTTGTCAAAATCTTAGCACGTGATGTAAAAAAATAATTTTTTAAAATAGATGAATACGATGATGTCAAATAGGATGTTGTCGATCAATATTGTCAATCAATGTTGTACATGTAGCATGATTCATATGAAATTCAACTGTATTTTGGTTAATATATGACACATGGTGTAATTTCCTCATATATATATTATTGAATTAAACACATAAAAGATACAAAGAAAATATCGGCTCCATTCATCACTTTCACTGTCAGTCTCACACTCCCTCCTTAGGCTCTCCTAGATTGTAGTATATATGAAATAATCCTCAATTATCAAAGAACTCTATAAAAAATCATTAGTTTCCATAGAATTAAAAAATAATCAAAATATAGTAAAATCAAGAGTTAAGATCTTACATGGGCAAAAAACTCATCGTTAATATCAGGGACAGTTTGTGGAGTATCTGCATGAATGTAAAGAGGGCCTTTATCGGACCAAGCATTCAAAATATCCTGATAATCCAGCTTCAAAGACAACCTTCGTGTCTTGTCGGCCGGATCTTTCCACCGTAGATCGGCGGCGCCGCTAGTAACCTCCTCCTCCTTCACCTTCCTCTCGACCACCTCCGAGTAATACACCCACTTTTCTTCACTGGGCTCTCTCTCCCTGTTCCTCAACGCCGTCCGTGCAAGCTCGCTGTTCTGTCCTCCGTAGGCGTAGGTTAGCGAAGCTGATGGCGACAAACTGGTGATGCTCATACTGTTGTCATTGGAGGAAGAGGTGGTGACGTTGGAGGCGTCGAGGAGGCCGTTGAGAGTAGTAGTGGCTCCGCCGTCCCCGGCAGAGAAGAAGTACGCAACGTTGTCTTGATCATGGGTATATGTATACTTTTCTTCCACCAAGTTTTCTGGATGTGGTGGGAATAAGTCCAGCTGGTGACAGTTACCACCGTAGGCGGCGGCGTCGGATGAAGAGGTTGGAATTTCAGTGGATTTTTCAGGTGTTTTAGTTACATCCGGCGAAAGCTGAAGGCGGAGGCTCAAGAACTTGGGTTTTTTCGCTTTGGTTCTTGATTTATGAGATTTAAACCTCCTTGAATTCATCGAGAAGTGAAGGCAGTGATTTTTTTTGCAGAAGAAAATAAAATTTGATATCTGAATTTTTCTCTCTATATCATTAACGAGCAAAAAATATCTTGAAGATGCAGAATCATACGAAAAGTGATGAAAAAGTGAAGCCTTTGTGGGGAAAGACTTGACCTTTTTGGGAGGGGAGATATTATGATGAGATGAGGTGTTGCTTTTATTGAGGCACGTGGAATGGGGTGATTGGCAGAGAATTGCAGATTGTAATGTTATCTAGATTTCCTGTTGGTGGATGAATTTGGATATTGAGTAATTAATTAATAAATTGCGTTAAATATGGTTTCACTTTCACGTGCTTTTTACACGGGCGCGAGGGATGATTTTTCAAAGTAGTACATAAATTATTTTATAATTCAAAATAATGTGTGACCTCATTATAAATCCCACATAACAAATAAACTTTGTCCGGCCGTGCTATCCGTATAAAAAATGATTGACATACACGTTGATCAACACTCACAATCGAGACACTTTTTTTTTTTGAAATTTTTTAGTGATAATTCTACTTGTATAATATCTCACATATATGCGGGATCCGCGTGTTAAAAAATTCAACAACAAAAAAGTGGACCTTCCATGTGAGTGGTTGTTAACCTCGATTGTACAACTAGCATGATCCATTTTCTAATCATGCAGGACCCGCCACATGTGAAAGGTTGTCAAATTCGTTGTCATCCATTTTCGAAAAAGCCCAACTTTGTCAACTCATGCATTGTTTTTAATTTTTTAATTATGTTCAAAAGTTTACAGACAATCTTATATTTTTCCAATTGCTTTAGGAAAATTTGGACAATAGGGCCCCCCTTGACCTTATGGTTGGTTAAAGGAAATTAACAGTTTGCTATGTTACACTAATTCAATGAAATAATAGGAATGGGAACTTTTAATATTTTTGTGCTTCAATTACGCAAGTGTTTGTGTTCATAATTAAGTGATCAAGTCAAGTAATATTCACGAAAATTGTAGTTATTAAGTAATGCGAACGATCTTTATCTCATCAATAACCATGCATGCACACTATCGAATTTCACATAAAGTTGCGCTTGAAGTAAAAAAATAATAACAATAAAGATAATTGAAACTAAACTGCAAAACTAGGTTAACTTGTTGCCATACCTAGTAAAAAATTAAGTCATCGAAGAAATCACAAAAAACTGTACATCTCTGAGATTAGAGAGAAGATGGCTAGTTGAATATTTAGAACTGTTTATTTCAATACCAAATAGGGGCCTTGTGTGTGCTCTCCTCTCAATGTTCAAATACTTATTTTATAGTCGAGGATTTTTCATGCCGTGAAGTCAGGTAAAAGTCACACCGTTGCTCGCTCGAGCGAACATTGCTTTAAAGCTCAGGACCCTTCTTAGTTCTAGATTGAGCTATCCATACTTGATCTCATTTCTTCAATTTTTCTCCCCATTTCACCAAAATTTACCGCCACCATACACTATAAAATTGAATGGACATGATGGTCCATGGTCAAACTTCCTCCCGCAGTCAGTGGATTGGACTGTTGCATTCTCTATATGTAATCGAGCCTATGTCAAATGACATTTTTGTACAACTAACTTTAACGATTTAAACTACCACCAAGTATGAATTCACGAGCACTCCATTTGAAATAGCATACACTGTCCACCGAAATGTACCCCACATCCTCGGTTAAATCACGCCTTTTATCACGGCTTTGATCCTTTATAACCCTACTTACTACACCACTATCTTTCACCCCTCTCTCCTAACTTACTTTCAACATAATGAAAATGTTTGGTGTTTCAATCTCCATTTTCATTCTTCTTACTCCATCCCTTGTATTCTCGTCTTCGATTCACGACCCAGAACTTGTCGTGCAAGACGTGCATAGGAGCATCAATGCATCAAGGAGGAGCCTAAGCTATCTCTCTTGTGGAACTGGCAATCCTATTGATGATTGCTGGCGTTGCGACGCCAATTGGGAGAATAATCGCCAGCGTTTAGCTGATTGCGCCATTGGATTCGGCAAGGATGCAGTTGGTGGCCGAGATGGGCGTATATACGTAGTAACAGACTCTGGCGATGATAATCCTGTGAATCCTCTACCAGGTACACTTAGACATGCTGTGATACAAAATGAGCCTTTATGGATCATTTTCAAAAGAGACATGGTGATTCAGCTCAAACAAGAACTTGTAATGAACAAGTTCAAGACCATTGATGGCCGGGGTGCCAGCGTTCACATTTCCGGTGGGCCGTGCATAAAAATTCACTACACAAGTAACATTATTATACATGGGATTCATATACATGACTGTAAAAGGGGAAGTGCTGCTATTATAAGAGACTCACCTCAACATATGGGACACTGGGAAGCGTCGGATGGAGATGGGGTGGCCATTCTCGGAAGTAGCCATATTTGGGTCGATCATTGCTCCCTGTCGAATTGCCAGGATGGGCTCATTGATGCCATTCATGGATCTACAGCCATAACTATATCGAATAATTACTTTACTCATCATGATAAGGTCATGCTCTTGGGACATAGTGATGCTTATACACAGGACAAGAATATGCAAGTGACCGTTGCTTTTAATCATTTTGGAGAAGGTCTCGTCCAAAGAATGCCCAGGTAAGATCTTACAGAAGCATTCGATTCAATTCGTATTCTTTTTCCTTACATGATTCTCAACTATTTTTTGCAGGTGTAGACATGGATATTTCCATGTGGTTAACAATGACTATACTCACTGGGAAATGTATGCCATTGGTGGAAGTGCCTCTCCTACCATCAATAGCCAAGGAAACAGATTTCTTGCACCTAGTGAAAGTTTCAGAAAAGAGGTAAAGACTAAAGAGATATTGATCCATGCACAAAACAAATCAATATTTACTGCAATATGAGATTTTATCGTTAGTCTTGGAATCAGACTACTCGTTGAGCTTCTTGGACTCTGATATCTTAAACCATAGACTTAAAAGGGTTTTAACTTGGGATTTGACCCTTAACGTGCGCAGGTAACAAAGCATGAGGATGCGCCGGAAAGTGAATGGAGTCACTGGAATTGGAGGTCGGAAGGCGACTTGATGTTGAACGGTGCCTATTTCCGGCAGTCCGGGGCCGGAGCCTCATCGTCCACGTACGCCCGAGCATCGAGTTTAGGCGCTAGACCATCTTCCCTCGTGGGTTCCATCACCACTAATGCAGGTGCACTTAACTGCAGAAGGAGCACTCGCTGTTAGTTAATCAAATGCTGTATTTGGCGTGGTCAGTCTCAGCATTTAGACCTTAATTCCAAATTATGGTCATATAAAATAGTTAAAGAAACAAAGGGATATTTACTGTTTGCTTTGAAGAATTTTGCAGTATGCATGAGGGTTGACTTATAATAAATCCTGCTCGTCTGCCTACCGTGATTTATGTTAAAATTCATAATTATTCAACTTAATTGACCAACTAAAGTCTTATGGAACGATAATACGGCAAGGAGGAATGTCCAAAAAGGAAACGGACACGTGAATATTCCATCGAAATTAATGTCACTATAATGAATTAGATAAAAAATTAAATAAAAATGCATCGTAAGTAATGGATTAAGAATGATGCTACATGTACAACATTGAATGACAACATTTTATTTGACATTATCATATCCATCCATTTTAAAAAATTATATTTATATCACGTGCTAGAATTTTGACAACACATGGTTGTCAACCATTATTGTCGACCAATATTGTACACTTAACTTTATTCATAGATTAAACCGTCAAGTAGTGGTGTTAGAATGGGCTAATCTCCCAATGACTAAGAATCATCATCGAGGTTGACAAGGTTTCAAACTTTATGTCATGACCCGACAACACTTTGAGCCTGTAAACTAGTTTGGATTTTGTCCTTTTTGTTAGTCTAATTTAGGAATTGTCGATGGATCCAATTTTTAGGCTCGTACTTTTTTTTCTAACACTTTTAGGTGTGTCACTTGTAAGAGATCAAAGAAATAAATATAAGTATAAAGGATAAGTGATTTGTAATTTTTAACTCACCTCATAATGGGTTTAGTGTGAATGTGACAGAGTTGCTTGCATATAATGATGGGCTTTTTAAGTGGGTAAGACCCACCATGTGTTTGGTTTCGTTAAAGTTTCAAGAGTGTTAGAGATTCGAAGATGGACAGAACTTTATTGATAACCATCACGTGCACTAATGGATCTTGATCCGTGGTATGTAAATGTCATAAAAGTCAAATGTGTGAGTGAGATTCCTCATTATGACTAATGTAGGGAGATTTTTTGAAATCATACCAATATCTTGTTTCCTTTTGAAAATAAAAGCATACCGATTTGACTTACATACTGGAGCATGCTTGAAAATGAATTAGTCGGTGATCACTATTTAGTTCAATAACGCCTTCTAAAGTGTCATTTGAAGTGAGGCTACGATAGAGTGGGCTTTTCGTATATATCATTCAGCATAGTTCTGAGTGATATAAAGTTGAACGCCGATTTTCATCAATTATAGCTTTTGACAATGTGACTTGAAATGGGGTGAACCTACTATCGCTATTTGGAAAACCTTCAATAATAAATTCATATTAAAATATTTATGAGTTGTGAGTCGATCATATGGTTCTTTTTCCATCAAGCCAAAAACTAAGACAAAGGAATATCGAACCATAGCATGTATCCATATTGTGCATAAAACCCCGTCTATAAGTGAAACACGTTAATTGTCAATTCTATCTAGTGCGGCACACTATGCTTAAAACAATGAGCAAAAGAATGATGGTTCTTACTGATTAATGTATTACGTTTATATTGTTTCTGAAATTAGATTCGAGCTGGCCATCTCAGTGGTGATTGCCATTATAAAAGGGAATTACTGCGCGGATTTGTAAAAATACGAGGACATGAACGAGACAGTTTTCTTCTGTTACAAAATTGTCATTGTTGCTTGAAGTTTCTTGTCAAATCTGGCTTCTATATAATCAAATGCATTAAATATGTGATCTTTTAAATTCTTAAATGCCAACTTAAAAAAAAAAAAAAAAACCAAAGAAATTTATAGAGGGTAAAAGGTAGATAAATAATGTCTTTAGTGGTTTTCCGTGTATACTATTCAGTTTTAGTTCTGTTAGATTCTGAAGGACCATTATGAATTCAACAAACAAAGTTGTCATTCAACATTGCATGTAACAAACATCTAAAGTTCATTTTGACGTCTGAATTGCTTGAATCACCGCTTGAAGTTTCTCTAATGCACATTGTTGTCACTGTTGGAATTAATTGATAAAGTGTTAAATAATTAAATGTGATATTTAATTATGTGGGTCATTGTCATTAATTTGGGTGAATTGGAAAAGTTTCCAATATAGGCCCATAAGTTGATAAGCTCAATTTTAAGTGTCTTATATATGGTAAGGAATCCAACATCGAAAGTTTACAAGAAAAAAGACTTGTTTATATAGTGGGATGTGTGTACAAGTTATAATTTAATAAAT